CTAATGCCATTGAAAAAAAGTTATACTTTCAATGATATACTGGTTTTACAAATAGAAAAAACAAAAAATCAAACGAATTAGAAATAAATAAATTCAAACGAAGTCTAAATATAAAAGTGACAGACAGTTGTTAAAGGGCTGATTTGGGTGTGGGTGTGAGGGTGTGGGTGTGGTTGTGAGGGTGTGGGTATGGGTGTCAGGGTGCGAGTGTGGGGTGTGGGTGTGAGGGTGTGGCTGTGGCTGGGTATGGGGCATGGGCGTGGGCGTGGGTGTGGATGTGGCTGTGAGGGTGTGGGTGTGGCTGGGTATGGGGCATGGGCGTGGGCGTGGGTGTGGATGTGGCTGTGAGGGTGTGGGTGTGGCTGGGTATGGGGCGTGGGTGTCAAAGTTCTATTCAATAACAGTCACACCCACACCCACACCCCACACCCACCCACACCCACACCCACGCTCACACCCCCACACCCACCCACCCACACCCACACCTCACCACCCACACCCACACACCCACCCCACACCCAACCCAACCCACACCCACACACCCACCCACACCCACACACTCACCCACACCCACACACCCACACTCACACACCCACACCCACCCATCTCAATAATCATAATAGATTCGAAAATCTCGTAGATTTAATACAAAGGGATGAATTATGATTTGTATAACATGGATATAGATAATTCTTGTCTCGATGATTACAATCCATTAAAAAAACAGTCAATTTTGAGGGATTATTATCGCTATTCTTTTACTTTGCTCCGCAAAATCATGAAATATTGCTGAAAATGAATGCCTACTATCTTGAGGGTGAGGGTGAGATTATAATTTTCCATTCGATTAAAAAGAAACATTTATTTAATTTTCATCAATAAAATATGCTTTAAATCGGTTCAAAATCCGTATCTCTTGATTTCTCTGTCTGTTTCCTTTACATGCATAATTTGGTTTTTAGCTTCGAATAATCCGAGTTGAAGTGGGCTAAAGAAAAAAATTTAATCAAAAGACAAGTATCACGTACTTGAGACACTGTATTACTTCTCGATTGTACCCAACATATATATACAAGCTTCATTTAGTATAAATTTATCAATATCAAACAGATCGACCTATACTATTTTAAAAATACAAATCAATCTGCTACTCTCAACTCTTGCTTTTCAGCAACCAATTTTCAATGCCAAACAGAAATTATTAAATAAATTTGCTTTAATTAAAGCTTTTCTTCAAAATAAATGCAGAGTTAATTTGCCGACGCGTTTCGTGTTATGTATTAACATATTGAAACACTCATCATGGCTGTGCATTTACAATGATAAGCACAATAAAAGCAACTAAAACAAACCTATTTGAATTAGGATAAAATCTGAAGCGACACAAGTATGAAGCAATAAAAACAAAACTGTCTAGATTACAATAAAATATGAAGCTACAGAAGTATTGTTAATTGCATTCAAAAGCTACGCAAGTAATGTTAATTCCATTCAATAGTTACCCTAAAAGAAAATTGGATTAGGGGCTCATGGAAAATGAAGCAATTTAAAAATAATAATTATTTTAAAGACGATATATATGAAAATGGAAATGGAAAATATATTCTTAAAATAATAATTTTGAATACACCATATTTAAATTTATTAACCACTTGATAGCCAATTGTCATTTCAAGTTGCTTAAACTAAAGTATAATCAATTATTTTTGGTTTGTTGGTTGTAATCTAATTGCCGCTCTGTATTACAACTACAGAATTTATGTTAGTACTGGTATCTGTAAGTCAATATTGGCAACTTGAATCAAGACGTAATAATATTGGTGTCTACGAGATGACAATAATAAAAACGTCAATATCTGCAGCTTCAATCAATATCTGCAAGTTGACATTGATATAATCTTGAATATTTATTTGGATGTTGTAATAATTAATAACCGAATAAAAAAATAAAATTTACTAAATTTGAATCCAATATTACATTAGAATATCGGACTATGATATTGTGATTTTTAGCAAATACTGACGAATCAGAATTCGAATTTTTGGTTTTCTGATTCTTAGTGCAAATTAACAAATCCAAATTCAGTTTAGATAATGGAAGAAGACGTTATAATTTTTAACAAAAACTGAAGTACCAAAAATTTGATTTTTAATTCTCAATGTAAGAAATATTTGTTTTGGTACATATTAATCTTCTTTGAAGATTATTAACATTTTGAGTACCAAGTATTGGTATAACTTCATTAATTGGTGATTAACCAAAATATTTATTTCAGAGCTTCTAAAATTCTGCAGAAAATGTCTTCATATTTGAATAATAGGTAAAATGAACGAACATTACTTTGGCGTAATCTATCGATACTTTTTCTTTTATAGAAGAATTAATAATTTTTCACGAAATATATTATAATTCGTAAAAGTTAACAGCTCATTAATAGCCAACTTTATTAAGACATCTTCAAACTGTTTTTCAATAAATTTATTAGGATATTTATTTAATAGCAATGCCATTCGTAGTCTTTCTCTTTCATTTAAATATTCTTGAGGGTGTGGGTGTGGCTGTGGCTGTCGGTGTGGGGGTGGGTGTGGGTCTAGTTATTATTGTCATCATCGACACCTACACCCACACCCACATCCTTTATGAACATGGATGATACGTATGAATTTTCATTATCGCTTGGTGAAGTTCTATTATCTTTGTATAAAACTTTTTTTCGAGGAATGTCACTTTAAAAAATTTGCAACGATTTTGTCATATTCGATTTATCTGAAAATGACAACATCTCGGAGATGATTACTTTTAGCTATTTAGAAAAATCATTACAACATATCTGTAAAGTTTTATTTCTACACCTTTCATAAAACTTTTAATGATGTATCTTGTAAAACAAAAATTCAAGTTTTTGTCATTCTCTCAAGATAAGATGTGCCAGAAAGGCATATTATTTTATACGATATCTTTACATTCTCAGTGTGTTCTTGTATAATCAAGGTTTCGTAATGTTCACAATCGCGCTACTCTTATGTTTGTCAATGCACGATGGAACCGTGTTCTGTTTCTTTCGTAATGCGCTTCTCATTCTATATGGCTGGTGACTCGTATATTATGTGTATACTGTCCTCATCCTGTGTTCTTACTATATTGCTCCTCTATATGTGTTCTCTCTTTGACCTAATCATCTGTTATTCTACTGGTGTATGTCAACGAATGCTTCCAACGACAAGTATTGACTAATCGCATAACGCCTAATCTTCGGTTATACCGTTCCTCTTTCCTTTCCTCCTCTTTTATTGCATCATCTACTCTCTCTCTCTCCTATATTAGCTCATGTTATGAGTGTAATAGTGACATTTGAATGTGGTGCACTGTCGAATAAATATGATGCTCATAACTCTGGGATCAAAAACAATTAATGTGCCTCTCCATTTGTCACATTAATGAAATTTTATATATACAGAAATACGTATATATATTTTTTTTTTCTCAAGAGAAGATACATGTAAAACAAAAATGTCTTTTGAATATTTGTATTATGTAAAATATACAGTGGGAAGTAGCACTAACATGTATGTTTTTCATTTTGACTATGGAAGAAACTATCAGAACATGTTTAGAAAAGTTTGTTAATACAGGCTTTGTAGAGCTTTTCAAGGCGCATCTTTTGAAAAAAGATCAAGAGTATATTATTTGTCTATGCAAAAATATTCACAAAACAAAGAATGTTGCAATCATTTAGGACATCCAGTATATATATACAGTGAAATCTCTATTAGTGAACACCTCTCGTAAGTGATCAACCCGTTATAATGAACACTCTCCGGACCGACCGACTGAATTTTGCTTGTTTTGACCCTCTCCTTTATGATCACCTCGACATTCTGAATGTGAACACTTTATTTCAGTCCCCACCATGTAAATAAACCCCTACAATATGAACGTTGATAGCTAGCGTCACTTAGTATTGAGTTAACACCATGCATCCAATTGGTTAATTTTATGATTGGGTAGAAAAAGAGAAAGGGACAATGGACACAATCAATATCATATGTGAATAGAACAATGAATTAATGTTTTTTTTTGTTTTTCAACCATTATTTATTATAACCTATGACCAGTCGTCATGAACTAGTTTATCAAAACAAAGTTCAATTACAGATTATTTCAAAGATTCACCTGTTGAAGTTCATAAAAATCTTATGAAATTAATTTTTTTATATTATAAATGGTTAAAAAAATTTATATTAATAAACTATAACAGTTCATTAAAAATGAACGAATAGATATCATTTACTTCGAAAAATTTCTATATTTTTACAAAACCCCTCCTATATGATCACCTCGTTAATCTGAACGATTTCTGAAGGTACCGACAGTGTTCACATTAGAGAGGTTTCACTGTATATCAAATTTTCGACCGCTCGTCGCACCCGTCGTATGCTTTTTTTTTGTTTCTTTGGATTACTGAAAATCTATTTCAGTCATTGAATATTTGACGTTCCAATATTCAAATATTCATTTTTTTTCTATGAAAGTCTAATTTAATGAAAATTCCTTCGCCGCACCCTCACCTACCGCACTTGTGTACGAGTGTACTTTTATGAAATATCTAAAAATTGAATAATTGAAAGAGATTTTCAATAATTGAATTCAGATTGCATGTTTGACATGTATGTGAAAATATGATAAATATAAAATGAGCAGAATGACTACAGTGAAAACTTCTTAGTATGTGAACAAAACTTACGTCTCTATTTTTCTTATAAGTTCCATATACTTTTTAAAAATTTTGTCACACCGAAAAAAATGACCCTGTCGCACTAATGTTACCACGGTAAAACTTGATTGGTTTCTTTTCATTTTGTTTTATACAATATGCAATGACCTCAATGGGAGAAAATAAATGATGTTACTCTTTTTTTTTTCTTTCCTCTTTTTTTCTTCCTATTAGCTTTATGTTTTGCATTTGAATTCTAACATTAAACTGTACAGCATCATCGAAATGCAATGCAAACAAGGAAATGAAAAAGTCGATATGATCATTACATCTAACATATCAGCTTCGAGACCAATCTCAGTAAAAGAAGATCCTGATATACAACAAACTCGACAAACTCTTCTAATTATACTTGGGATATGTCTTGTAAGTCTCTTCGTGTTTTAATTATAATAATCATAGGAATGTTCTTATTTTTTTTTCTTCTGTCCGATATCTACATATATCATCATTTGATTATATGTTTTGGAATAAATAGATTAGTAGCACCCTCATCTTTTTTCTGTAATGTGAAAACTTGATTAAATTTTCTTCTTCTTTGTAATGATAGAGAAAATGATGCCCTAGTTTTTTGTACAATTTGATGACTTTTATCTAATAAAATTTTGATAAGAACTATTTTTATACACCACTTCACCTATATGTGAGACTGACTAAATGACTACACTTTGCATTTCAATTTACAATCCCTTAATAGCTTATATTAGAAAACTAAAATATACCACTGAATGCAACGTAAAAAGTTCTACAATTTAAATAAGATCGCTTATTTTGCAGTTGCATCTCATTTATCATAATGAACAAGATTTTGAGCAATCAATTTTCAACCTCACAAAATCAATATATTTTCTGTGAAAGAATTAACTGATTTTTCATATTTCATCGTTATATCATCTTGTATCTTCTAGTTTAAAAAAATATATATCAAAAGATGAAGCGTAACAAATCCTACAAGTTTTATATGATCTCTTATTTTAATTGTGCACTTCTAATTTCGAAAAAAAAAATCATCTTTCATCTAAAATATACCATAAGTTGTTCTTGAAAATTTATGAAGATTTTCATGCTATATCTATTGATATGTCTTCTTTTTTAACAAAACCTATCAAGTGAGTAAATATTGAAATGCAAAGTGAGATCATATATTTCATCTCACCTATTGGTGAAGTTGTGCATGAAAATATTTCTTATCGAAATTTCATTAGATAAAAGTGATCAAATATTACGAAAAGATAGAGCATCGTTTTTTTATATCACTACATAATAAAAGTAAATTTAATTAAACTTTCTATTATCGAAATAAGATGACGGCGCTACTACTTTCGGTATCCTCTAAGTAGTTCTTTAAATTAAATATAGTCAAGTTTTCTTCAATAGTATGTTAAGAATAAGAATGCATTCGAATAAAATAACTTTCATCATCTTGTTTCAATAAATAAAAGCAAAAAAGAAAAACTGTTACAACTATCAATATTATGTGAGAAAAGTGTTATACATACTCGAGTGGACGTAGCCTTCAAACTACGTACACATAACTAGTAGATTATGAGTACTCGAGTTTATCTAGTCACTTTCTATTCACATATTCATTGAATGTTTATCTATAGAAATTTCGAGCAATATCTTATCGATTTTTATTGAAATTCTAAATTATTTTGTTTAGGCTCTTTCTGTGATAAGTGTGATAAGTAATACACTTGTAAATGAAATTTCTAATGGTATGCAAAAAAATCAAGGTGGTATACGAGTTGGTTCATCTCTAATTTGGCTACTTTTTCACGGATTCGGAATATTTGTTGCTTATCATTATTCTGAAACAGGTTTAAAAGTGGTAAGTTTTCATTTCTAATATCTACTTTATTCCTGTCATATATATGTCGTGCGGAAGTTACACTGTTTGTCTAAGTTATAACTTCGGCGAGTACATTTATCGAAGTTATAACTTGGACATTTATATTTTGCCGAAGTTGTTTCTAAAATACAAATCAATATATTGATTTGTATTTTAGAAACAACTTCGGTATGACATATATATATATACATACTCCAATTTAATCTAATTTTAAAAGAAAATTTTAATTGATTTTATCTTAATAAATAATGAATCAAATATTTTTTGGATGAGATAATTTAGTTTTAATAAATCTTATCTAAGAAATCTCCTTTAAAATCATGTTTAATTTGTTTCAATCTTTATGAGAAATTAAATATTTTCGATTTATTAATCAAATGAAAAAGAAAAAACCTAATATTTATTCCAGTTAATTTCATGTATAATTTTATTTTGTTAAGATAATTCGATGTCATTTTCATTAAATGATCAAATAATCACGAAAAATTAAGTGAAAACGTTAAAATGTTTGATATTGATGGAACTATGATTAAAAATATTTAAAAAAAGAACTAATGAAATAATGAAACATATATCATTGCAAATAACATATAATTCATTATAAAATCATTTTTCAATTAAATTTCGTATGACATCTTCATTAAATTCCATTTTAATTAAAAAGTAGATTAGTTTACTAAAAACCTAACATCCTATGTACGTATGCATAGTACCAAGTCAAATCGGCATTGTCTTCAACGAAGAACTTTCTTGCGAGTTAGTCTTTATCATGATTCGAGATCGAAAAAGTTGAGAAAACAAATCATTATCAAGATTATAATTAGATCATGATAGAAAGAAAAAAAAAATCACTATTTATAGTTTTAACTGTTTTGAGATGTAATATATGCGTATTGATATTCAATATTTAAAAAAAAACTGCAACAACGTATAAGTTGAATAGTTATTCAATAAAATGTTTCTATTTATATTCTATTTTTAGTTTGCTTGGTTGGGTATAATTTTAATGGTTCTATCTGGTATCGCAGTTGCAGTTTCCCTTATTTTACGTCTGGCAGTTTCATCTAGCATAAGCGTCAGCAGTCTTAATCTTTTATTAATTATTGTCGCCATTTTTCTAATATGCATTTCCTATTTGATTTTTACAGTAAGTCTTTTTAATTTTATTTACTCATATAGATATCTTATACTTATGTTATCTTCTAGAAAATCCTAAACTTGTCGTTCAAATTGGCTAAACTGATTGAATCAAAAAAGCTAGTTATTGCAACTCCAGAGGAGCTGAATTGTGGAACTCAAGTATATCCTTGAGTCCTGTTATCCTAATATTGTATCTCTAAATTGAAAAACTTCTGCCGGCAAGAATAATAATTTATCATTTAATTCTACATTTAAAACTGCGACTGTCTTTTTCATTTGAGAGCGTTCGATTTTTTTTATTATTGTTGCTATATACTCGATAACACTCATCTTTTTTGTTTTTGTTTTTATTTGAAATTTCTTTTCACCATCAATTAGTTCATGAATACAAGCGTTACGTTAGTGCACTTAAAATGTGTTAAGGAAATATTCTTCCTTATGAATTAGGGTGTGGGTGTGGGGTGTGGGTGTGGGTGTGGGTATAAGTTCACAGAAATGGACACCTCAACCTCGATAATCTTTTATCACGGTTGAATAAAAAAGCTTTTTGTTTTCATATGTGAAAATGTGACTGCAAACAAATGCACAAACAAACAAACAAACAAACTCATTTTATTTTATATAGTCCTCTCTTCAATAAAAACAATTAAAAATGAAATACTTCCTAATGAGTAGTATAATTGAACTATAAAAGGAAACTCTTTCATTGTGGTGTTTTCTATAGGCATGTGTGTCATAAGTTGATTCAACTCACATAGATTCTCTTATCTTAGCCTTTCTTCTATCTTTTCATGTTGCTGAGAATAAAGTATAAAAATCTTTCTGTTTTAGAGATTTTTCTCTCTCCTTCGAGGCTCGTTATACAAGCATAATTACAAGAGAAGCTTAAGACTAAATTCTATATATTCTAGTTCTATTCTCTGGTTAGTTTGTTATAGGCTCAGTTTCATTGATTTACAAGGAGTGCATAAGATCATTAAAATCATTCAATTAAACCTTATGAGATCAAATGTTTTTAACAGCAACATTTCTTGGAATTGTCAATCTATGTCTAGTCATTATTGCTATTCTTATTTTTTTATTAATTTTCATTATCATTTTCATTCATCATGAAGAACTAAATGATATATCATTAGTATTAACATGTAACACTTGCTTAGCTGCATTTCTTACATGTATTACAGAATTTTTCATGACTCTTTCGAATTTAACAACGGGATTCTTAAAGTATAATCTTTATTTTTGTTATGGATGAGGATTACTCTATGATATATTTGAATGTTCTATTTATCATAGTTATTGTTTACAAGCATTCTTTCGTTTATGTCGAGTTGTATTTTACAAGAAAAAGTCTCTGCTATCTTTTTCCTTACATTATATATTGATTATAAGCCAATGGCTAATCTCCATTGGCTTGTTTATACCAACCATACTTCTCCAATGGTACATTCTTTTACCGGCGGAAACTTATTGTCTTGTTCCATATACAGATATAGGTGCATCTACATATCTCATCATTATCCTATATCTTATTCCATTAGTATCGATTTCATTAATCCACGCATGGATAACGAAATTTATACGTAGTTCTGCACACCCAACAACACATATTATAGTTGCAAAACAGAGAGAACGAAATTTAAGAGACTTAACAATTATAAAACGTATTGTTATATTAATATTAATATTAATAGTATTGCGGTGTCCAACGATCATCTTTATTATATATGGAGTCATGACTGGACACTTATATTCGTTAACATATTCGATTGTTGGTTTGATCACGTCAACATTTTTAACAATGATTGGAGTGGTCACAATTAATATAACATCACGGTTGAAAAAGAATATTTTGATGGTTGCATTTTGTCGAGATAGTCAAGCACACGTACATCAAATATCGTTACGACCCTTAGAACCAATAGAAACTGCGCAAGGCAATATTATTAGTACTCATCCAATTATAACCATCAATGCACGAAAAGTTGTTAACACAAAGAATAAGTTTTAATAACGTTTTCATTTTCATTGACAATAACACATAATCTAATTCGTCTACTAATATAAAATTCTCTCTGTTTGTCTGCACTGATACTTTGTTGGCTTTTTTCATTGTCTAAACAATATAGTTTGTCAAAATTATCATTTCTCTCGATTACTGATTTCTAAACAAGACTATTAATCTATGTAGTGTGTCATGTATTATATGTTTATTCTATCACAACAAGGTTTTCATACATAGATAGGTTAATATATGGTGCAATGTTTGTATAACCTGTTTAGCGGTAAAACGCTTTTTTGTATATGCAATTCAACCCAATCAAAATATAAATATGATATTCGTAATCAGCACGCAAAATTGCATACAAATGATATACTTCTGATGATATTTGAAAAAGAAATTTCGAATCCTGGAGGGATATCCCAGGAGACAAAAATGTCACTTCAACATTTTCCAAAACTAAGTCGTAGGGAATACTTCTAGTGGTGTCCTGACACGCTTCAGATAGATAAAAGTAAAAAGTCGTGGGCAAAAAATGGCCTTATTGCAACATGTGCGTTCCAAATTTATTTATTCTACTGTGCAGATATCTCTCATATTTCCCACGGGTTTCTTATTCACTTCAGAGTCAGAAGCAAACTTATTATTCTGTTTCTTCCTTTATTTGCAACTGTTTCAACACTTTATCGATACCAATGAACTGCACGTGTCTGTTTGTTCGGTCAACAATCAGTGTTTCTTTCATGCGTTGCCTCATAAAAATTCACTACACAATTTCATTTTTTGCGAAAAACAAGCATGTTGACTACTTCTCAATCGCGACCGAGATATGTTGCTAGAAAGAAATCAAAGTGTATATCCAAAAGAATATCCAAGAAAAGAAATGACAACAACGATCAAAACCACGAAGACTTCTCACTTATTTGGCTCGATGAAAAAAATCAAGACAGTGAAATTCAATGTCGCTTACGTTGTATTATCAATTATTTGAAGTTATTTGACAATGTCGATAAATGTGTGGAATATGTGCTTTCAATCAAAGAAGAAAAAGTTTTTTTTATCTCATCTGGTATATTAGCAGAAATTGTTATCCCTCGTAGTCATGAACACTCACAACTGGAAGGTATCTATATATTTTGTCACCATCGTTTGAGAAATGAAACATTTGATAAATCATATGCGAAAGTTAGGGGTGTGTCTACGATTAATGAATCTTTGCTAGCAAAACTGAAGGACGATCTTCGAACTTCTTCAAATAATATTCTATTAACGAGTATATTTACACCAGAAAAATCCATTCATGATCTAGATAAAGAAAGCTCGACTTTTATCTGGTTTCCGCTATTACTCGAAACGGTCATTCGTATGCCTTCACCACGTTCGGCTAAAGAGGATTTAGTGAAGGAATGTCAAATTGAGTATGTTGATAATGAATTGGAACAAACAATCATTGCCAATTTTCGTGACAGTTATAAAGCATCCGAAGCAATATCATGGTATACACGTGATTGTTTCCTTTATCGCTTGCTAAACAAAGCCTTCCGATCTCAAAATATTGTAAAGATATTCAAATTTCGATTTTTCCTTGCTGATATTCATCATCAACTGGAAGAATTACATCAAAAATATATCAAAACATTACCGACGGATAAAAATATATTCACCTACCGAGGTCAAAGTATCGGCAGTGAAGAACTGAGCAAACTAAGAGATAAAGTAAACAAATTAATTTCCATCAATTCTTATTTCTCAACAACTATTGACTCTCAACTAGCATTTATGTTTGCTGGAAGTGGCCAGCGACTTCCATTCCGTGAATCAGTATTGTTCGAAATTGAACTGGATCGAACAGTTGTCAAATTAACTAAACCATTTGCAAAACTTGGTGACACCAGTTTGATAAAACATGAAGATGAAATACTTTTCTCACCGGGAACTGTTTTTAGAATCGAGTCGGTTGAAGAATTCGACTTAACTTGGTACGTTAAACTAATCCTAATGAACAAAGAAGCGACGAAAGAAATGAGTCAAATAACTGACTTCTTGAGACATGAAGGTGACAATTCGTCGCCATCGGCATCATTGGGGTATTTCTTATGGAGAATTGGTGAATATGACAAGGCGGAATTCTTTTTTTCAATGACAGTCAAGGAATTACGACCATCGGAGAAAACACAAACTTCACTTGTCTTAAATAATATCGGACTCTTGTATAGCGATCGAGGTTACTATGTAAAAGCCTTAAAGTATTACCAGAAATCCTTAAAATACGAAATGAAAAATCGTTCACCAAATTTTGCTGATATAGGTACCACATTAAACAATATCGGAATTATTTATGCTAACAAAAAAAAACATAAAACTGCATTAAAATTTTATAAAGAGGCATTAAAGATGAGATTGGCAACTACCAATCCGAAACCGGTCGATATCGCAGACATTGCGACAAGCTATTCAAATATCGGATGTGTATATGCAGATCTACAATTATTCTCTCGAGCAATAATTAGTCAAGAAAAAGCATTGGAGATTCGATTAAAGCAACTACCTTCCAGTCATCCAGATATTGGCGACTCTTACAACAATATTGGATATGTTTATTTTCTTCAGAACAACTTTAAAACAGCCTTGAAATGGTATCATAAGGCCCTAGATAACAATCTTATTTCACTTCCACCCCATCATCCCGATCTATCGACCAACTATAATAACATTGCGACAGCTTTGTATGGTGAGAAAAACTACGTTTTAGCTATTCAATACTATGAAAAGGCGATCGAAATTGATTCAAAATCATTACCAAGCGATCATCCAGACTTTGTGCAAACATTCAATAGTCTGTCTCAGACATACATGTCGATGAAAAATTATTCTATGGCACTGGAATATTTAAGAAAAGCTCTAGATATTGAATTAACTCGTGCACAACAAGACCATGCATTACTCACAGAATTATACGCTAACATTGCATATAATTATAAATGGATGAATGATAATAAAATGGCGCTCAAAAATTATCAAATTGGTCTCAAGCATTGTTTGAAAGTAAAAGTCCGAAATCATTCACATATTCATCATTTCCAAAAATCCATACAA